ACTTGCAATTATTGCTTACAAGCCACAAGTTCCAGTCAGTAGCGTCTCCAAATCTAATTTTGACATTTTGTAGAATTTATGAATGAAATACATCTCTACTTGACAAGGACTCACTAACTCACAGGGGCAGCCGCCCTCCAAAAATATCTTGAAAACTGGCATTGTCTTTCCCTCAAGGACGACAAAATTGGTATTGTAAGAGCATATCCATTCCAAAATGCTAAGGCTAAGACAAAGGCAAGGCAATGACTGCTACTATTCACGTGAATAATGGCAGCCTTGTCTTTTTTTGTTCCACCCCAAAAGGCCTTTCTTAAAATGATTATGCAAGAAAAAAATAAATATGGAAGAAAATATAAACAATTTACAAATGCAAGAAAAAAAAATTATTACAATTTACAAATATTGGAAGGAGAAGAGTTTGTATGAGGATTTGGTGTGAAAAGTGAATAAAATTGTTATGTATTTATAGGGAAAACATCCATAATTTTTTAGTTTTTTTTTTTTTTAATTGAATTTTTTTTTATTTTTTTTTCAATTTTTTTGATTTTTTTTTTTTTGCTCGCTTATATTAGCGCCTTCGAGCTGAAGCCTAGACAGAATTAGCCTTTGGACTTGCCCGGGCTGGTGGGACCCAGGACTGCTTGGCGCGCGCTGGAGGTCCAAACCCCTGAAAAGGGGCCTCTTGCCCTGGCAAAAGGGCCTGCGCTGGAGGTGGCCTAATGTCAGTCATGTTGATATGAAGACTCCAAATTGTGCATTAATACATGACAACCATCTTAACTTTATACTTACAGATAGGTCTTGGCCCACATCTGGAATATGACCTATATATAGAAATTTGAAGTTAAAATCTGACATATCTCTTATTAGAGCACATCTGCATCACCTATTTTCCTTGCATCTGTTTCTATAATTTTGTGAAAATGCAATCATAAATATTGAATTTCTTTAGAAACTGACTTGACATTCTGAAACTGGCCATCCAGGCATCCGATAAAGAGCAAACCAATCACAGCTTATTTACTTTCAACTTTAGAATTCTGAAGCAACTATACTTCCAGATAGACTCTGCTTAAAAGTAAACCCTACACTTCCAGACATACTTTCCCTGTAACAGGTCTCTCAAGAATGTAAGTGTTCGCATGTCATGTACACAAATTGCAGCGCTAAACCAATGATAAAAGAACATGCATACTTGAACTTATTTCTAAGTGATGACTAATACTTTGGGTACCAAAACATCCCTTTAATGCCCTCTGGGTCAGGTTCAAAACCCAAATTTTGATAGAACTCCACAACTGCAATGACAAAGTAAGAAAACAGAGTATGACAATGAGTATGAATTTTTTTAATACAAGTTGAATATGCTAAAGCAGGCAACACCCAAAGCCGGACTTGTCATAGGAAGGAACGCCGATATAGAGTAGGATTGGTGGCAAAATATTTATGTTGCCACGCTGATAATTACTTAAGAAACAGACTACCAATCCCATATGCATGCACATGCAGATGCACATAGACTAAATGCTATAAATAACTGCTGTTTTACCTTGACTATCTGCAAACAGTGAAATATTTCCGATGTCCCTCTGCAGAAGAGCCCTTATAAGCTTTTCAACAAGGGCCTTTCCGAGGCCTTGGCCCTGAATGATAAAGATATCATTAGAAACAATCAAGAAAACATCTCATGTAATTAGTGCATAAGTCCAACGAACAATCTTCAAGCACCATCATACCTGATAACCAGGATCAACAAGGACATCCCAAATTGTAGCATTGAAGGCATGATCTGATGTAGCTCGAGCCATGCCAATTAACTTCTTTTGGTCATTCCCCTCTGTCAAATAACTTCTCCAAGTACACTAAGTGTTCATCAAATAGTTTTAGATGTAGTAACAAGCATGGATATTAGATTGTAATACAAATTGAGTGAAAAAAAAGGATACTGCAACAATGTCGTATCCACTATGTACCTGATCCAGGTGATTTCCAAAGTGAATGCAACGTGGCTACCATGTAGCTATTTTTCAAAGCTGCAGCTAGTTTCGACAGCGGCCTCCGAGGCCAGCCTACCTATTAAATTTATATTAAAGTTATTTAACTTTAGCCAGTGGGTATAAGATAACATTATCAAAATTCACTACTTCATATACAGCTAAAGAATAACATATCAAAACTTTACTGAAAGGTCAATCAGGTAAGATACATCCACAATAAGTGGACTCCTGACCTATGAAGAGTGACTTAGACACAATTGCGAATTCAAAAGGCATTAACTTTTCGATGCATGTGCAAAACAAGTAGCAATGGCAGTTTATTTACCTTATCACAAAGGGCTTGAAGATCATACACATCAATATCTCCACCAGAAGAAAATATTATTTCTTCAACTGTTCCATCTGGTTCAGTCTTTTCAATGAGAACAAATTCTTGAGGCAAAGGTTCTTCTTCCTCTTCTGGAAGCGTTGTGAGGGGTTCTACTACTTGTGTTGAGTTGTTTAAAATACTGCAATAAGAAGTGCGTTAAGGACCATACTTTTTTGTCTGTATCTGTGATAAAATCTAATTTCTTGCTCTTCTAGACTTCAATTAGTATTAATTTAAAAACGACATAGTGGTACAAGCACATTGCCATTTAAAAGTGTCATTCATCCATAAAGTAACATTCTTTCTAAGCAAGTTCACTGATGAAGTGCTCAAACCAAACCAATGCCTTCATATTTGATCAATTTAACATTAAAGCACTATGTAACTATAAGTTCTTTAAAACTCAAATTGTGTTTCTCGCTTCAGCAAGGCATCCTTCTTTGCAGCAACATAACAAATGCAACGTTCCAATTTAACATACCCGACAGAAATTCTTCCACATTCATTGTGTGATTTGTGTGCATGTCTGTCATTTTGTAAGTGTATGATCAGTGAAAATGAGTATCTCCAATTACCCAGATTTAATGGATTCCCAAAATCCAGCCTTGAGTTGATATGTCTTATGCACCCTGCTTGCTGCAAAAAATACAGCAAAAGGGTAAAACTTTTCCATCCATAGTTCACCCAATAATGAGGAATTACTAAACTTCAACACTCACTATGCAGACAATGTGCAAGTGTGCATACCTTTAGCAAGCTTCTCGCTTATATTGCAAGGAAAGAATAACTTGTTTGATGCTTGACGACACAATTCAAATGAAACAATTGGGCATCTGCCACGAATTTAAACGAAAAAGGACATTATTTTCTTCAATCCACCATCATCAAGTAACTAGAACCAAATGGTTACTCTAAACAGCTTCCAAAACGCATTCTTTTTGTAATTAAACGCTTTTCAAACTAAGAATGCTCATTAGAATATCGTAGCTTGATACTGAAATCAACCTATAAGTTAAAAACTACCAAATGTCCCGACAGATAGTTTGCTGAACTGAAATGGGTTGAAATGAAACCATAAAGACTGATGGATAAGAAGAACTTACACAGGATAGGAAGCGACGGGAGTGAGCGTACGCATCATCCTTGTTGTTTTTGCTGTGGAGCTGAAGCTATGGCTTGTGTGATGTGAGTGACTGTGACTCTGTTGGCTTAGGTATGCTCTTTAGAAAACTATACAGGGCAAAGCTACTTGCTTTGCTATCAAAATTTCTGACCTGATATATCGATCGGCTATGGCGCACACAACTTTTTATCTTCCCTTAATGCCCTGCCTCCCCCGGTATATCACATAAATGCCATTTTATGCGCTAAAAATACAAAATTGTCAAATTATGGCCTTTTCTTTTCTTCCTTTAATTTCTTTATATAATTATTTTCTTGTTCTTTTCCTTTAAATAAATACTAGGGATAGGGGCAGTGGTTTAGGCCAGCCAGTTGAGGTAATATGGCCTCCTCTCCGCGTTGCATCCGTGTTCGAAATCTCTTCATACATTAGGGTAGTTAAGAATATCACAATTGTAATTATATAAAATTAAAAAATTAAAAAAATTAAAAAAGAAACAGTATTAGGAATAGGGCTTTTATTGGGTTTGTAAATTGTATCCGGCTCGAATTGCCTAACCAGAGGTAATGGGCCTGATAAGCCATATTGGACCTTGATCAAATTAAAAGGAGACCATGTTACCTTTGTTTGGTCAATAGACCATGTTACCTTTGGTGCGGTCAACAGAGACCAGAGCAAAGAAAAGAATATGCTTTAAAGTATTATAATTTGAGTCTTTCATTGATAATAAACAAATAATTGATTTGGAAGAAAAAGAGGATGGAGCATGTACTTGCAACATCTCTCTCTCTCTCTCTATCTCTCTCTCTCCAATTATATCATCTTTATTGAGTTCCGCGTCACTTGCGTCCCATCAGTCCATGCCTAGTACATTATCACCCTTTTTAAGCATGAATTTTTTCTGTGTCTAATTTTATTACTTTTCTCATTTAACAAAGACATTTCATAAAGGAATTTTATAAAAAATATAAGGAAAAATAAGAAGAAAAGAAGAAGAAGACGTTTCATAACATCAACGGGATTCTGATGTGGTGTAAGAAAAAAAGAGTGTGAACAAATTTACTTTCATGTAATTTATCTTAAAAATTCAATGTTATTTAATACACGTTTCAATGAATAATAAAACCATGCAACAATCTATATGATAACGGACGCAAAGGTTTTGCAATGCGTTACGTCCGTACGCCCCCCCAACTTCAAAATTCAAAGAGATCATGTTTTTGTGTTTTTTTTCTCTTCCTAATTCATGTTTCATATTATTCTTTCTTTGCCAGAATGGCGTGAGTGAGTCTGTCTGACACTGCAGATTTAGTCTCAAAATCAGACAAAGCATTTCTTTTTCTGTTTATCTTCAGAGATAAAATAAAAAAAGAACCAAAGAAGAACGCAATACAAGACAAAGGAATGATGAAGACGCAAAAGCAAAAGGTGACCAGCGAGCCTGTCTCTGTCCCCATAAAAAGAAGGGGAGGTTCCAATTGTGAATTGCTCAAAACCAACAGGTTATTTACGTAAAGGGAAAAAAATAAGAAGGAAAAAGATCATATTATTCTCTGAGTCATTGTGATGATTACGATGATCCACAAGAACACTGTTTGAGATTCAGCTGCTGGACATTTTAGAGTGTGAATTCGAATGAATGGGGATGGTTTCTGAGAACCCTTTCTCTTTTTCAAGCCGCTCTCCAACTCCCAAGCTCTGCAGCTCCTTCACCACTCGGTACCCTTAACTCTTCTTCTTCTTCTTCTTCCCTCTCTCTTGTGCATTTGCATTAATTTAGCTCATCATCTTCTCAAGCTTTCAACTTCAGTTTTGTTCAGTCTTTTTGTTTCTTTCTTTTGGTTCTGCCAGCTCCTGCTATGTGCTTGCTTATTTTGATTTCTAGATGTTTTAATCATTTGTCTGGTGTTCTATATAATGTGTATGCATATATAATATATAGATCCACTGCCCCCTTTTGTACTTGATAGTTCTGTCTTTGGCATGCTTCAACTTCTTTTTTTGATTCTTGAACGTGGGGGCTCACAGATTTAGTCAATTCATTACCATATCAGACAGAACAGAACAATTTTAAATTAATTAGTTAACAGAATATACAAACGATACAACATTTTAAAATTGATCCCCTTTTTCAATAAATCGTTTCTCCAAACATTTTTGCTTTTGTTTAGAAGAAGAGTTGAATCTAGGATCTACCCTTTACTCCATCACATTGTTACTTGAGGCTGAATGTCTTTAGCCACGGTCGGATTATGACTTTAGCCACGCCTGGTATGCTTCCACTGGATTTTTCAACCATAGTGTTGATTCTTAGTCAAAGAGTGCACTGTTAGGACATGAGGTCTTGAAGCTGTGCTATAGTTTCTGCATGAAAACTTGGATTTTTGCCCAACTTGTGGATTGCTTGTTCCTCCTGCAATTTGGATTGGATGTTTTCAGTTGACAAAATTTTCCCTTATTTGCTAGTCATATTCTAGGATAATTTATGTGATGTTTCAACCATGCTGATTACTCATTACTGATATTAGAGGTTTTATGTGCATGTAGTATCTTTTCAGATGTTGCCGGGGACATTACAATTGTTGTCGATGGAGAGTCCTTTTTGCTACATAAGGTAATTTCCTCTTTGTCCAAGATGAAAAATGTTTGTTTTCTACACGCAGCTTTGACATCTTATGCTATAAGCATTGTAGCCTTGCATTTTTCTATTTTGCTGATCACATTGTTCTATTTTTCTGAAGTTTCCACTGGTGTCTCGAAGTGGAAAGATTCGGAAAATGGTTGCAGATGCCAAGGATTCAACTGCAAAACTGGAGTTACTCAACATACCAGGAGGTCCCCTGGCATTTGAACTTGCAATGAAATTCTGTTACGGAATCAACTTTGAGATCACAACTGCAAATGTTGCCCATCTGCGCTGTGCTGCAGAATACTTGGAAATGACTGAAGACTACAGGGATGAAAACCTTATTGCACGAACGGAGACTTATCTGGATGAGGTTGTAGTTCAGAGTCTTGAAAAGTCAGTGGAAGTCCTTTCCACCTGCGAGACACTACCTTCTATTGCAGAGGAGGTCGGGATTCCAAGCAGATGTGTGGAGGCTATTGCCATGAATGCTTGCAAGGAGCAACTAGTATCAGGGTTGTCTATGTTGAATTGTGATGGTGAGTCCACAGAGCTTAAAAGTGGTTGTCTTGAGTGGTGGGTTGAAGATCTATCACTCCTAAGGATTGATTATTATCAAAGGGTTATATGTGCCATGACAAGACTAGGTGTTCGACCCGATAGCATTTTTGCATCTTTGATGCATTTTGCTCAGGCATCCTTAAAGGGTATTGCGAAATGTCAAACTTGGAATCCAGGAAAGTTGAAGTCAAATACTGGCATGGCAGAACACGACCAGAAGACTGTTGTGGAAGCCCTTGTAAGCTTAATGCCAACAGAGAAAAGTTGTTCGGTGCCACTGAGTTTTATGTTTGGAATGCTGAGAATGGCAATTATGGTAGATGCTACAATAGCCTGCAGGCTTGAGCTTGAAAGGAGGATTGCTTTTAGGCTGGAAATGGTTTCACTCGATGATCTCCTTATACCATCAATCCAAGCAGGGGGATCATTGTATGATGTTGATACTGTTCATCGAATACTGGTGAATTTTCTGCAGCGAATTGAAGAAGAAGAAAGTGAAGATTGTGGATATGAGTCTGAAGGCCTCGGTTCTCCAAGTCATGATTCATTGTTAAAAGTTGGTAGGCTTATTGACACATATCTAGCTGAAATTGCTCCTGATCCATACCTGAGTTCACAAAAATTCATTGCTATGATTGAAATACTGCCTGACTATGCTCGTGTCATCGATGACGGGCTTTACAGGGCGGTTGACATATATTTGAAGGTAAGTTATGAACTTTTATTATATTAGCCTCAGCATTGCCAGATGGTATAAATGAAATGCAAGAGCTGACATGTTTTACAAAGGATTAAGACTGAGTTCCTTTTATAGTTGATTGACTCCATTTCTTTGCTTCTTGTTTAGGTTCATTCAATGCTAACTGAACAAGAATGCAAGAAGCTCTGCAAGTTCATTGACTGCCAAAAGCTCTCTCAAGAAGCCTGCAATCACGCTGCACAAAATGATCGACTTCCAGTACAGATGACAGTTCGAGTTCTGTATTTTGAGCAGCTCCGTCTGAAAAATGCATTGTCCGGAAGCTCAGGAGATGGGCTGCTCTCGCAGAGAATAAGCAGCGGTGTACCTAGTGCAGCCATGTCCCCTCGAGATAATTATGCTTCACTAAGGAGAGAAAACCGAGAGCTGAAACTGGAGATTTCAAGAATGAGAGTGAGGCTGAGTGAGTTGGAGAAAGAGCAGTTGTTCATGAAACAAGGAATGATGGATAAAACAGGAAATGGAAAAACTTTCTTGACCTCACTCTCTAAAGGGATTGGAAGGATTGGAATTTTTAGTGGCCAAGCAGGAGGTAAACCAAAGAAATCAGGTAGGAAGTCCCGGGGCTCCGAGGGGAAAACCGGTAGGAGTAGGAGATATTCCGTTTCCTAGGTAGCATAGAAGGTTTAGGAGTTCATGTTCATCATCATTGAGGCACAGGCACCTATAATGGGGGCCATGACACTATCCTTATGAGCATAAAGTCCAGGTGACCCTGGTGGTTGAGCTACACAACGTCTGAATTCTAAGGGAGCCTGTAGTTTGTACCACATTTACAAAGAGTAGGGCTTAGATGTATCCCACCTCATGTGGTCTAAATGTTGTACAAGTAGTTTATTGATCTTTGAAATATCAATTAGGAATTACCTTATTTTCTTTCTCTCAATGTATGCTAGTCTTTTCTAATACTTATGATTAGGAGTTTATAGTTTTCAATTTATAAGTAAAAGACTAAAGTGAAGCAAAAATTAGCTCAATAATGTGACATATTATGAATTAGCTTGCCCCTAATAACAATAATTTCAGAGGCAGCTAAAACTATGCTGTTATTGTTTTGGAAGCAAATTTCATAATCTCAGAAGTAAACTGCCAAACCAAATAAGAACAAGTACTGTCCAAGAAACTCAGTCAAGGCCCCTGCTCTAGTACATCTCCAGCTACAAGTAGAGAGAATTCAAGATGCACTGGTTTGTCCTAAAAGGCGCTTCCGAATCTGCAGAGAAGAAACAAAGAAGAAAACAGTGAACTAATCATGCATAGTGAAGTTTTGTGTTCATAGTTTCTTTTTTCTTTTCAATTCTGTTTTGCTGAATGAATGTCCAAATGGAGTTGATCCATGAATACCAACCTCGGGCAGCTTCTGTCTGAACACAACATCCAATCGTGCGTCGAGGGTGTTTTCACACACTATCTTTCCATCTTGGGAGGCCAACACCACTCCACCAGAACTTTCAAACAATCAAACCAACAAAAAACAAATGAAACTGGTGACAAGCAGCTTAAGGCAAGCTGACCAAAATGTCCTATAAGTTACACAATGCACATATATGTATGTGCTGTGCACAGATTGATGTAAGAAGAAAACAGAGTTGATGAACAGAAAAGATTTACCAAAAGGGCTCATGAGAGTCACCACCTTTCGGAGGAGGTGGGAGGAACACACGATCGTCGATGGTGACTTTGGGGACGGAAGCACTGGCTTTATCAGCATAAGCTTTCTTTGCTTCCTCCAACACAGACTCAACAACTTTCTTGTCAACCTCTCTGCACCGTAGCAACACTGCTGGCTCCTTGAGCCTCATCAAACTCTACACGTATGAATAATTCAACACTACTTTTGTCAAATACATTATATTAATTGATTAAAACATGCATGTATGATGGTTAAATATAAACTATAAAGTACCTGAACAATCAAGTCTTTGATGAGCTTCTTGTATGCCTTCTTGTCATCCGAAACACGCAGAAGATCCTTGCCAGCAGCTTCTTTCATGGAGTTTACAATGTCATCCTGTGCTTGAAGAACTTTTATACGAGATGCATTCAGCTGCATTGAGTATTCGCTATGCACACCCAAAATTAAATCCTCAAATAGTCATTAATTTTCAGATTAATTTTCTTTGTGAGGAGGAGGATGTAAATTCTAATAGAACTCACATTTTCTTGCGCACATCCACCTGCTTTGCCTTGCGGTCATACTCTTGCTTGATCTTTTTCTTGTCAGCTTCAAATATTTGCAGCTTCTCAATGTTAAATTCCTGTCAACATATAAAATCAATACAACCAAAAAAAAAAACCCATGATTAATTAATATAAAAGGTTAAAGCAATGCCAATGTTCGAATTGCTTGCCATGCATGATGCATGCAAATTAAAATTGGTGGGGAGGGAGGAGGGAGGACCTCCTCAGCAGAGACAGAAATTTCATTGGCTTTCTCTTCGGCCTCTTGGCGGATGAATCTGACCATCTGCTGAATCTGCTTTGAGACATCTGCATCGTTCATCTTGTCAAGAATACTTGTTCGGTTTCTCTGATAAATTAGAGATTGAATATGTGCCTGAAGTGTGTTATTAGACTCAGAAAAAAAAAAAGTTGAAAACCAAAAGAACACAATAATACTCTTTGAACAAGAATTTGATTGAGACACATGACCTATGTGTGTCTGTTGTTTTAGTGCGAAATTTCGTCCGAACTTCTTGTACGTTGAATGCTTCCAAAGTTCCTCATTTCCCGAATCTTCTCTAAGTTCTAAGTTATAACCAACGTTTTTTTATTTTAAAAAAAATTGTATTAAATGTTTTTGACGAATAAATTATTATTATTTTCAAAGGTTAACTGTCGATTTACCCAATAAACTTGTACTTTACTTTCAATTTGCACCCTCAACTTTTTTTTTGAAAAATTAAGTACACGAAGTAATTTTTATTGCCAATTCCCCCCCTGCCGTCTAAATCAACTTTTTGTCATCCAATAGTCCATCAAATTGTCACTGTTCAAAAGGTCATTTCGTCTCTCCACCCTAATAAATCCACTCCACCCCTTTCCCTCTATTCGGTGCCTTCATTTCTCACCTTGTGAATTGGTGAAATTCCAGTAAAGAAAAAAGGGGCAAGTTTCCCTCCGCAAAACCTATTCATAGGAGAAATTGAAGGGATGAGGAACAACTCACCCGGGAGAGGTCATGGTTCCCAGTGTTCAAGTTCGCACTTTGAAGATTAAACTCTTCATGAAATCAGACACACTCATGACCTCTGCCAGGTGAGTTGAACAAGGAAAGTCCAAAATTTCTCCTCGTGACGGAGGTATTTTCCAAAATTAGGAAACAAGTCCAAAAAGGTGAGCTCCTGCACCTGCCCAGAAACTAGACCTATTTTTTATACCAAAAACTTGTTTTTTTGTAATCATAAATAATTTTGATAATTTTTGAGAGTGTGATTAAGGAACAAAATGCATGGGATTTGGAATCTCTCAACTCAACAATGATTTTATTTGTGATTGTTGAACATGTAAAAGTAACAAGGCCTCCACCGATTAACTCCGAAGGCATGCAAATATTTATGATACAATTATGATCATTTGGATGTATTGTAAATCAAGGAACAAAATACATGGGGTTTGGAAGCTTAAAGGTGCGGTTCCCCACAAAATCTCCCTGTAGATCACTCCACTGGTCTCCTACATTTCCCCAAATCTTGTAACCTTCTTCTGCCAATTGCTTCCGAATGTTTGATTTGTACGCAACTGCACCTTGCCCCTTGTAAGCTGCAGACCTGAAAACCCACACACACGCCTAACTAAATTAGGTCCATGCGCAATAATATATAATCACGATTTTTTTTATCTTCTTGATAAGAAAATTAAACCAAGTCAAGATTGGTAGGTGTTGACATTCATAAGACTTTTTCTTTGATAATTAGTTGTCGCCCATAAGATTTGAATTTGAGATATCCTCTAGTTACGTAGAAACTAGAAATAACACTAAATCGAATAGTTTGTTGACACGCATTGGATAACTTAATATAAAGCAATGGGGATTTCACTAGGCCAAGATTAATTGGTGGGTTTTTCACCTCAAAAAGTAGAACACTTTTCTTGCATGGTGATTGACTCGGATAATTCCAATCATTAGACTAAATTTGGCATAATCATTAAACCAAATTCGACATTGGCCAATGAGCAGACGCATACATGCATCTATGCATGCATCAACCATCATATACACATGTTAATTCTTACCTCAAAATCAGCCGTTCATAACCCACAAATCCCTGATTATGCAGGTTCTCAGTAGTGACTTGTCCAAGGGTTTCTTCATCTCTTCCTGTGACCATGAACACCTTAAACCCACTACTCACCAGCTTGCTAAACAGTCCTAGCATACCAGGAATTGCCGGACACCCTCCAGTCATTGCCCATGCCTTGAACCCAGATGGGTCATAGGGATCACACCTACATATATATCACCAAGTGCCCAAAATCAATTAAGTAAATATAAGATGATTCTTATTTAAACGCGTAGTTTAAATTCACAGATAATATAAGTATCAATCTTGCAACATAAGTATGACAAGAGAATATTATCCTAGTTATATTACCCGTATCTCTTGCTCTTGTAGTAGAAGACATTGGAGATGCAAGTGTCATCCACGTCCAAAATCCAAGCGTCCTTGCCATCACCGGAGAGCGCTATGCCATTTACATAACTCAGAATCTGGCCAACAAGGAAATCAACGTCCCGGTCGTACTGCCCTCCGATCATGTAGGTTTCAACGTAGCGCAGGCACTGAGTTGGCACCGTGCGCCATGCACGCACATTGTCGGCCTCCACAGCCAGTCTCCAACTCAAACAAAACGCAGCACCCTCAACTTGTGGCAGGCTTGGCTTAGGGTAGGGCTTCAAACCAGTTGCCTTGGAGAATAAGGTCAGATACACAAGTACAAACACCTCCTGGGTCCGTTGCACCATTGCTCTAATATTCATATGTGCAGTTACCTCTATCTACAAGAGGAATTAGGCAAAATAATCACGAGATTAAACCTTTTTTTAAACAAAGACTGAGGCAACGAATGGCGTGTGGTAGACGGAGGGAACAAGACAGAAAGTGTTCAAATCCAAAATAATGGGTTTGGAGAAATTAATTAACCAAAAAATAAAGCTTGAAAAGAGGCTAGCTAAGAGTTGACGGAATTTTTGTGGGCAAATGGCACACGTAAGAAGAGGCTTTTATAAGGGGCTCAACTGAACCAATTTTTTGTTTCTAGTTGTTGAATACAACTTAAATACTTGTGAGTTGTGAAGTAATCGCACATGAACTTTCAAGTCATGAACTTGGCGATGACCGAAGACTCTATATATAATATAAGTTCTACGGCTGAACTGCTAGGCAATTTCCAAGTGAAAAACCCAAGCAATTTAAATAAATAAACAAAATTTGAAGGAATATATCCATGTCCACATTGATAAGGAAGATGGGAATAAATGTTTTGATCGAATCACCAAAAACAGGATAGAGCCTAGGGTTGAAGGAAAAGTTATACTTAATGGGGAGTAAAAAATTATTATTTAAACAAATCTAGGAATGAAAAGATGGTGGGAACTTATTCAGCACAAAAATAATATATGACTTTAGATATCTGCTGTTGTGATTTCAAAGGAAGGAACTTTCTCACTTCTCATTATGAATGGAATTGAAATTTCTTTTCAACATTATTATGTTGAAAAGAAAATTGACTTGGGTCGTCGGTGGACAACTTGTTGTGTCATATTTGTGTCAAGCACTTATAGCATCATATTGGTGTACGTATGCAGGACTACGCAATGCAACCCCCCACAATCAATTGTCAACAAATTGTGGGATGGTTCGAATCTACATATAGATTTTATGA